CTGTGAGTTTGTAAAGGTTAGGTGTACACGTTCTTTGGGATTTTAATACAGTGTTCGTAATACCAATAATACAAACTATGCAAAGGTCTGAAGAAAACGGTGGTAGGAAGAAGACATGTAATCTATTTAATGCCTTGTTTGTTTTTATTTCTTTCTTCGTATCATATAAAACCTATCAATAAGGGTCTGAAAACAAATTGTTTACTGTTAAAATGTGAGAAGGTTACTTTACCCTTTGTCCAATCTTTCTCAATTGACTTAGTTGGTACTTCAGGGAATAATCAAACAAAAAATGTAAGAACAGGCTAAAAATAAATATTGCTTAAATGGTAAGTCTCACCCACCCCACCACCACATCTCTCTCTCTCTCTCTCTCTCTCTCTCTCTCTCTCTCTTCTCTCTCTCTCTCTACCATCGTAGATGGTTGCCAGCAAATATCCATGAAAATGACAAGCGTGGTAGATTTAACTTGTGTCATACGATAATGTCTCTGGATAATTGAATGATGGCCACAAACCAACTGAATGAGGGATAAAAACAACTGGACGTTCGGCAGTAATGTTAACTAAATCATAATAACTTAGATCAATTGTAATACACTGAAATGTTTTAATTACAACTTGCTGGATCATCCCATCACTTTGAATTTGCCGAGAGTTAACTTATCAAACACTTAGCTATGCTGTGTTTGTAGTGCTCGACTTTCTACAAGTACTATTTTTCATGTTAAATCATAAATTTATCTCTATATTTATTTAGTCAATATGAATCAAATTAGAAGTTCTGAAAATAAAACAAACAACTTATCATTTGCAAATGAGACTGCGATAATTCGCAACATGTAAAGAACTACCTAATATGGCGGACATACTGGTAAGGGCGGCACCAAATTCATGGATTCCATTCATTTCGTCAATACACAGTTGCTTTCAGTCAATCTTAACTGAGTTTTAAAGAATGCTAGTATTTGTATTTGTATATGATATAAATGAAATATATGATAGTGTGTACGATGTATCTTTGATATAACACTCATTTTAACAAAATTTCATTCAAAGGAACCTCAGCAATCCTCAATATGTACATCACTATATATATATATATATATATATATATATATATATATATATATATATATATATATATATATATATATATATATATATATATATATATGACTGAATTCGCAGAAGTACAATAATTGATATATATATATATATATATATATATATATATATATATATATATATATATATATATATATATAATTGTACTTCTGCGAATTCAATCATTAGAAGGAAACCTTTAAGCCTTGATAACACCTATTATCATAGCAATTTTAGGATGATAGCGTATATTGAGAAAATGGCTGGGGGATGAATTTAATAAAATCGATTTTTACCCTGCAATTGTAGAAGTCTGATTTCATTAAAGGGGCTATAATGTATAAATAACTACTTCTTCTACGTGATGCAAGCAATGTTTATTTTGTTCATTTTTTTTGTAGTTGCATGCAAATTTGCTGCTTCGATCTGCCATTTATCGCATTTACATTTGCAAGAAAAACTGTACTGAAAATCATGGCTATCAAACTTTATTCTAATTACCTGCAAAAGTGTTTTTAAAATGTTTGTTTGTTGTGGTCGGATCGGAGTTGAATTTCGTCACTACATCGGATTCATTTAAAGTAAATTTTAATTCCACTTCGTATAATATTGTACAAAAGTAAATTGCCGTATATATTTTCGTCATGTTCTCTTATTTAGCATTGTGTTGATTGGAGTTTGGGGACTGTATCAAAACATGGTACTGCAACACTTTTATCGGTTCATGACAATTCAGTCACACGATTTTATAAGCATTGTGCAATATCAACCCCAGACTATGATAATCTATGTTGGTATTTGCACCAAGGCAAAAAATCTCAGTCAACGGGTTTCATTATTTTTATTCCACTAGGCTATTTCCTTGCTTTTGTATAAACAACAATTAGACTATTTTTCTTACCCAATGTATTTATTTTAAAAAATTAAATTAAAATTATCTCCATGTTTGCAATTAAGTTAGCATATTTAAAAGATAGCATTCATCGGGTACTGTTATTGCTTCTCACTCTGTGTAAAGTTTGTCTGATTTTGTTCTCTTTTATGTCTAAAGCTATATTTGCCTCTGATAGAGAAAGGAAAAAATCATGGTATGATCGAAGTATTGAGCAATGCGCCTCTGGATCAACGAGCTGTTTTTTTTTTCAAATTGCGAATTAATACCAATATGTTCATGAGGGCAATGATGCGACAAGTTCTACGCCTGATCGAATGTAAACATAAAATTATTGGATATTATTGCTATAGTATCAAATCTAATCGATGGATGTCATATGAGAATAACATTTAATAATAAATATATTTCATACGGATAACCTTTAACTTTCATCGGTTCCAATTTGGAAAAATGTTTAATGGTAGGTAACGATATGATACATTACAAAATCGGGTACAGTCCTGACTCGATGTGTAGTGACCGATGATACTTCCTATGCATGACATTCTTGGCAACTACTATTATCTGTCGAGGAAATATGGCATGTGTTGCTGTTATTAGTGTGGTGATACGCTACATAGAAATCTTCATGTGGAATAGCGTGTGGACTGATGAATGAACTACTTTGATTTGCAAGAATTTTCAATTATTTACAATATTTAATACAACTGTGGTTGGTTAAGGGTGTTTGTCGAAGTCTGAAGAATGCAGGTGTGACATTTAACTCTTTTGTGTTTGTTGCCATCTTTGCCGTAGCTCTTGAGAGAATGTTCTATTATAGTTCGTTCCTCACAGGATCACACATTTTATCCTATCTGTAGCTCATTGACTTTTATGGTCAGCTTCATTAAATATAGCTAAACGTATCAAATATGTTTCAACGAAGTATTTAAAACTAATTCGGTACTTTTAACTGCATTTAATGAAACTGACCTGAAAATTTGCTGAGTTAAATATTGGATGAAATTCACCATGCTTTGCGGAACAAATTATAGCTTCTTCGATAATACCAAATAACTAGACTTGGTGTGATCGTATGTGTTTTTCTCTCAAAATGTTTTGTACGGTGTGTTATCGAAGTTAAGTTGTTTAATGGGATTTTTAGTGTTTTTATTTATCCGTTGTTCTCGTTCGATTTTATAACAACTCAGTGGGAATCAAACAACGAGGGTTTCTTTCTTTAAAAGTAATTCCTTACTAATTGACACCATGACTGAGACAACCTGAATGAGATAATCAGAAGTAGATTATAAAAGTAAGGGCAGCAAAACAGCATGATTCCTTTGTCTCAAGGGTGAGAAAATATCGTCACACGGTCATGTAAGCACTGTGCTTCATCAGCGTCAGACAATAGGTTTACACAGTCGTGTAAGTATTGTGGAGCAGCAACTACAGCCGAAAGACAGTTCCTTGAATCAATATCATGGCGGAAATCAGCCGCTATGTACATATAATTATTTGCGAAGGCTTACACTGGAGAGCAATCTTACTCTGATCATTTAAAAATACCGTAAAACAACAGCAAATCAGGTCTTCAATTTCCTTGGTAAAAGCTGAGAGTTCATAGAGAGTAAACTATGTTAACAATACATATTTGTTTGAAATCAATTTGATTGAATAGCATCATTAAATATTACAAGGAAAAGTTATATCAGGAGACAGTTTTAAGTTCGTTATTTAAAATTCTGCTGAGAAATATTGCTGATTATGGATTTAGCCAATATGATTTTGAAGGTGCGAGTCAAAATGTTAAAATAAGCTGTAAGGGAATTAGGTTTTACAGTGGCGTAGATGGCTATTTCATCATCAAAAGTGTAGTCGACAAAAGAAACTGTATAAGATATCAAGCAGTATGATACGCAGACAAGGAGGCAACTAATGACCCTACAAAGACCTTACTCATAGTATTGGACTCGCTCAAATAATTGAACGATCCATTTCAGCAAAATGGGTTAATGAATTTTCCTATTCTTGTGCTATTTACCTGCAAAGATTTAGACGGGCTTTTAGATTTCGATACCACAGCCGTTCATTTCTTACAGCGATTGAATGAATATTGCGGTATATAGGGCCTTTATTAACACCTAGAAAATCATTGAGTCAATAACATATTTGTCAGCTGTTATTGACAAAATACACGCTCTTATCTAAACAGATGATTTTGTTACAGGCGAGTTTTGTTGCAGCCAAGTGTACATGAGCGTATAAGGGTCGTCTTTTTAGGTCAGGTCTTCAGCCTAATCTAATTTAGTTTCTATTACACAGAAGCAATATAAAGCAAGTTCTTATTTCCTTTAGGAAAATAATCTGATGATGCAAAGAGCTTGAACATAATCGATTAATGATAAGCGGGCATGGTGTTCAAGCAAAAAGGAAGGTTTAGAATTGTAAAAGTGTTTTTTAACAATTGCTGCATAACCCGTCTTTTCAATAAACATAAAATGTGTTGATAATAAAACGCAGAAAATCATTCACTTTCACATGATGTGGATATAATCCTCATTTTATTAAATAGGGTTAATTTACATGTTAAATTTGCAAAACTATTTAAATTTCTAGATAACAACCACCGATACTAATTTGACTCGAAAGAAGACGGACAGTGATCTGAATGCATCTGAATAAATACAAATTTATTGCTTTGTAATTATAGGTAGTTTTATAACGGTATGGAACAGAATGATGTAAAAACAACGAATGTTCACCACTTCCTTCGTTAGTGCCGGTTCCTGGTGTTAGAGGCATAACTCTTCAGAAGTGGAATCTAGACAGCTGCGAGGTTCATTTTCGTTAAGTGGTTTGAAACAATACTTTGCCGCATTTATAATAATATATACCATCGCTCATCAGACGGTAATGAAGAACTTTTAATGTCAAGTTTCAACAATAATATATAAAATTCCTTCATTGTTAATTTTATTATGCTGACGAGAATAAACTAATGACGAATTTTTTTGAGCGCTTCAGTGGCCTAAGTGGTTATAGCGTCTGCCTCGGAAGCGGGAGATCGCGGGTTGGAACCCTGACCGAATCATACTAAAGATTTCTAGAAATGGTACTAAGAGCTTCCTCAATAGACACTCAGCAATAAATGGTCGGCCTGATGACAGGATAATATTATTTGGTGCGACTTGACGCTAACCGAATATCTGCGAAATGAATTTCCAGTGTTAGACATCACCATGAACTACCTCACTTCAGACAGAGCGATATGACTGAACCTATGTTAAAAGATAAGTTAAAAATCACAAGCATTTCTTTCTTTTGTTTGTTTTTCTTTAAATCATGCTGTTCCTGACGGATGATAAAACCACAACAGCACAGCAACAGAGAGAAAATATATGTATATGGAATGTATAAAAAGACCAGTCAATATATTTCCACAGATTATGTAGTAGTACTGGCACTTTTGTGATTCCCAGTGTTAAAACTTGATGCGATAATTTGTTTACAATGATGCATCAATAAAACAAAATGAAGAGAAATGGAAACAAATAGCTGTAAAATAGAAACAAAATTCTGTAACCAGAAATGCAGGACATAAAATATGTACTGTCTGATATTCCAAAGTTATTTAAAATTGACGTTCAAACATGACCATTGCACACACTTTATTTTCTTCAGTTTCTCTAAGAGGATTGTAAAAAAAACTTAAAACGCCTTCACTGACACGTCTTACACAATGAAAACCCGTATCACATTTGTGCTTACCTCATGTTGTGCTTCTACATACCTTGTAAAATTATTGCGTGTTTTGTTTGGGGTAGCAACCCCTTCACCTTCACACACACACACACACATATATATATATATATATATATATATATATATATATATATATATATATATATATATATATATATATATATATATATATATATATATATATATATGTATATATATATATATATATATATATATATATATATATATATATATATATATATATATATATATATATATATATATATATATATATATATTTCATGCTAATAGACTCAGACGTGACGACTTTAGCATTTATGTAGTGGTTCTGAGCCTTAAAAATGTTCCAGTAAAATATTGTCTAATAGATATATCCATCTTGATATGTTGCAAAACATGTTTCAAGCTGTCTAGACGAATTTGTCTAAAATCAATAATGACAGGCCACTAACTTTATTTCGGTTAATGTGAAGAACGCTTCTGTGTCATTTTAATCACTATTGCATATTAACTGAATGAAAAAAAGTCAGATGTTTTAATAAACACTTCTGATAAAATGTTACTAATTTATCCATCTTCTTCGGGTAACATGGCTAGCCGGTCAGCATGCCTTACTCAGCTGGAGGAGGCTGCGGTTTTGATTTCTGCTCAGACAATGGCGAGTTAGTTTATGTTGTATTTTTCTGGGCAAGACAATATATTATAATTGCCTTGTGGTGTGTCTCTGGGCGAGATATTCTATTGCACTTTCCCCGAGGGAATGTCTATGGGCAAGACACTATTGCAATTGTCTCGGCGTGATACAATCTTCATTTGCAGTTCAGACCCATTTAATTGATCAATTCTTCAGGAATTTAAACTTTGTCTCTCTTGTAGTAGACATTAACCCTGGGTAATAGAGATGCGTACAGCAGAAGATATCGTGAAACATACTATTGTGTGCCGAAATCATATACAAGAGCAACAAATTAATTTTCTGGGTCAGGGGCCTGGGATTTATTTCTTTAAATAAATACCAGATCTTAAATTTTTGAGAAATATCCTGTTGTGATTTACAGTAAAATAACACAATAGTTATACTAGTTTGAAAAACCCATTATCCTAACAAAAATAAAATATTTCAGCTGGAAACAAACTCCCAACTCCCACTCCTCAAAATTAAATTACCAGTACCTTTATGTAGTAGAATTTACTATATGTATACTAATTGTTGCATACATTATGATCTAAACATTGTAACTAAGGTATGATGCTCAATTTTACACTCTAGCAGACACCCTATAAAACATTATGTTCAGAGAGCGGATTTTACAACAATAGGAAAGTGTTGACAATGACGCATAGAATTTATTAGTCACCTTTTTTATATAAGGCAGGGAAAAGTTGAGTGGGATGTCATCTTTCGGGAAAGCTATTTATCAGAGATTGGTAATTATGTTGACTAAAAAATTAATTTAACTTCAAACAAACTTGAACTGCTCTCCTGAAAATATTAGGATGAATCTCAGTCTTATAAAGGAATATAGGTACATACCACATTAACATTTTTGTATATATTGCTAATTTGAATTTTATTCTCCAAAAGTTGGATTTGATCCAATATATGTTACACAGCATGTAAATAAAGGTTTTTGAATATAATTATATTTGTAATATTGGATAATAATTTGCAATAAATGAAATTATTATTAAAAGGGAAAAATATGGCTATAAATTGGCATAACAGTTTTAATACTGCAAACCTTTATTCGACATCGCACGCTGTCGTTGCAAATATGAAAATGTAATACGTCGAATCAGGCAATTTGAAATAGCAAGGAAACTTGCTGCCAATACCCACGACATGTTTGTTATTTTAGTTCGTCCCTGAACTGATTTAGGGGACCATATGAAAAAACTATTCATTTCAGGCGACAGAAGGCTTTAGGATTTCAAGGTGGTAAATAAAAATCAAATTCAATAGATGAATGAAAGAACTTGCAAGAAGCATATCTTGTAATAAATCAATATTCTGGACAGCTTTGTGACATTATAGTGATTGAAACATAAGTTTTCATTTTGAATCTTGTTTGGATACGCATTAGAAGGTATCTTTATTTTACCTACCCTATAATAGCATTGCAAAGGACTTTAGGGAACTAATCAAAATGGCTCTGGTAAAGAGATATAAAAACTAATAAACTGTTTTTTAGCAAACAGAAGTCAGCTTTATAGTCAGGAATTTATTATCGCTTAACATAATGTAATCATAGTTGGTACACATATAATCAATGACCTACACACACACACACACACACACACACACACACACACACACACACACACACACACACACACACACACACACACATATATATATATATATAATTGCATTGATCTAATCTATCTAATCTGCTTCTAACATGTTTAGTACTAGACTTCTTCACCTGTGATTTTCTGTTCTATGTACTTTTGGCCTTTGAACAGGACTTTTTTGGCCTGTAACTATCTATTTACTGTCTCATCCAGTTTAATGAAGATGATCAGTAAACAAAATGATAATTACAGATGTAGTAATTTATGCGTGCAGTCCTAATTAACAAATAATAACGTTTACCGTCTGTAAATTTTCATATAACTAAGCAACTTACGTGCATCTCACGATTATGACACTACACGTTAATTTTGATACGTTTGCTTTAATTATTTCTAATGTGTTTTTCTCAATTTATTCTTGAGAATAAGCTAATTTTAAGGGCAAAACTTTAATTGGGATATATAAATCATAACTTGAAAACAACTTAATTAAATTTTATAGAACTGAGCCAATATTGTCTATTAGTGTACATGCTAAGACCCATTTTACGTAGAAAAGGCTGATTAGTCGATTTCTTATAATATCAAAGAAATGTAAGGAATAGCTCGATACAGGTCAATTTCTGGGCTTATTGAAATGACAATAATCTGTCTCTTAGGCTATGGTCATTTTCATGCTTAGTGTTCCAGTATTCCAGAAAACTGTAACTGTCTCAAGTATTGAATAATCTGTTATATCTATTGTGATTATACGAGCTACAGTCCAGTAGCTGCTGACCATATTGGCTATCAGATTATAATCTCAAATCACACAAACTTTGTTATTCTCAGTTCGGACAATTTGCAGTTTTTCATTCTGTATACCGAATTCTTGCTTGCTGTTTGCTTTCGATATATTTTGGGAAGCAGGTGAATCTCTGAAAATGTTCTTGTAAAAAAGAAGCATATTTTATCTTGCCATTAATGCATTTATATCCTACCATAAACGTAAGTGAATATATCAGCCTTATAAAAGGAAACATCGTTTCCAATTATGAATTGCTTGCCAACTTTGATGCACACAATGTGATATTGCAATAGACCTCTATTAAATGAGAACATGTATTCAAATTGATCGAATTTCTTATTTCACTAAGCTTCTGATTATTTTGTGTGAAGTAAAGAAATTGAATGCTGCGGAAAATACATTACTAATTTCCAGGCACTAAGCTGTCTCTTTCAAGTAGATGGACTCAGCTGGCATAATTCCAGATTGCCCACAAATTAATGCTATGCAGAAAGTTCAAACTGCTTTATGTCAGTACCAAGACACAGAAAATATGCTGATAGCCGATAAACTATAATTAGGAACAAAATTTATAACCTTAATTAGGAGATTCCCAAATTGTGCGGTTGTTTCCGAATAGTGATATAACAGATGACGGTTATTGGTTAAGGAAGGGAAAAATAATTGCAATGCATTTTGTAGAAATCGATATATCGTCGTCTTCGATACCGTTATTAGCGAAGTTCACTTTACAAGTAACGGTTGTAATGTTCAGTATATGTGTCAGTTAAATCTAATTGAGAACTTTAAAGATATTTGGAATACCTCTTGTTACCTTCAGTCATATTGTCAAAGGTCGCGTCATCACAGCCATGGTCATACATTTATAAAAACAAGTTACAAAATATTGACATCCGATTTAATTGTTGAAAGTAATTTATCAATGGATAAAGGAAGAATAAAATGACATACATTTAAGAATCGTATTAATCGGGAAATCATAAATGTATACATTATATCATTATTAATTGATTTATAAGTCTGGTACCTCAAAATTGCAGTGAATATTTAACATCTCTATCAAAAGTATTGCTATGCAGAAATCAAGAACGTTAGACAAATTGTTCACATATGTAAAACAATGCAGGTAGCTTTATGAGTAAATCTGATAATAGGCTTCACTTGTAACCAGAGGAAAATAACAGATTCTTGTGCTTCGAGATTGTGTCAATTTTTGTAAACGCCTTCTTTAAAATATGGATACTAAA